GAGAATATTGGTAGATGACAAGATGAAACGTTCCGGATGACTCACTAAGGGAATTGAGCTCTTTCCATTCGCTCACAACACCTTCGTCCAGGTTCTCAAGAGGATTATTCATACATACCAACGCTTTGAGTTTGTTCAACTTCATCAGGGCTGGGGGAAGAGCTTTCAACCCAGTATTGCTAATGTTTAACACTGCCAGTCAGCGATTACCTACATCGCAGGTCTTTCTCTGAGCCCATCTTCTCCTCGTCATCTCACCTGATATCAAACCAAAACACCAAAATAAAATGGGTGACAAAGTGGTGAAGTAGAGGGTTAAGACATAGAAGCTTGTAAACCTGAACTCACCCGTCAGATTCTCCGACTCTTCCAAACTCTCCCATCCCCTCTTGATCTTACACCCCGCCAAGTTTAACCAAGTAATCTTCTTTGCTTGTCCAACCCATGTCACATCCTCCGTCTCACTCCCAGACAGATCCAGCCGAGTTATGTTCTCCAGTTTCTCTCGAGAAGGAGGGATATCAAAAGGTGATGAGGAGTAAATCAGAGCTGTGGATGTCCTGACGGCTTTAGGTTTGAATCTATCTGGGTTGGATATATCTTCATGTTGTCTCTGTTTCTCGGCTTTCAGACGCACTCTCTGCTCTTTATCCAGATGTCGCTTCTGATTATATCTCTCTGAAGATGGATGGAGGGCACTTGCATCATGTTTCGACGTAGATGGGGTAGCCAAAGAAGGGGGACTTCGGGATGAGGGGGAGAAAGGTAGGGAAGGGTTTCGAGAGGTAGGAACGGCTGAACTTGTAGAGATTGGAGCTTGGGTGAGCTTTGCAGCTCGTTTTCGACTTCTTGCTGCACCTCTGTCCATGATAGTATATATGTATGTAGCTATGTAGCTATGTAGGTTGTATATAGCCAAAAAGATGAGAGGAAATGAAGAGATGGATCGAAAATTTGAGCGAAAAACTTTCCCTTTTCTCTCTTCTCCAACTTTTCACTTTCACTCATTTCTCTGTCACAACTTCGACATTCATAACTTTGGTAGAGGTCGATGAATACTCTAGTACGACAGGCAGGAAGCGATCTTAGTCGTACTTCAGTGCAAGAATACCTCAAGATGTTCGCTTCTGGTTCTAGGACATCCCTTCGTCCGGCTTTACACCCCAGGCTGTTTTCAGTACGTTTCTTCATCTTGGTGACCTTATCGATGCTGATATTCAGACGTCCGCGCCTACGAGAGGCACCAGACGTCAAGTTCTGATTGAACTCTTGGAAGAGATACCTCGTGTCGGTAAGAAAGGTGAGTCGCATTCAACAAGGTCCTTCGATTCCATCCTCTGAATTCTCAACTTAACTTCCTAATGGTCACTCCCACGGTCATCGTACTGATTTATCATCTCTGATGTTCCATCTCTGACTTCAAATGTATCACAAAAATCTAGACCATAGCTGATAATCAGCCGAAAGAGTTCTCGTATCCCCAAGTTGGGCCAGAACACAATTAATACCAAATCGTCAAGCACGTTACGTTCCTTGGAAACGGTCTTCTGATAAGATATCCGTCCAAATCAACGTGAGTCACCCGGTTTACACCTTGACGACCACTCAGCTTTTCAGTATAATATGACAGAACTGACACGTAGTCCAAAATTGACTTGGCCCAACTAGAAGATCAACGTCTTAGAGCAATCACGGACGGCTCTACGTCTCCCGAACTCCTGCAAGCTCTTGAATCTCTGCCGGACACATTCACCATACCCGCTCGGACTACATCTCCTCATTTTCCAACACTTCACGGATCGATTTCTCTCGACGCGGTGATTCGATTGATCGAAGAGAATGGTGTGAGAGAAGCGGATGCGGAGGTGAGCTGGGTTTCGGCCGAGGAGGGAAGTAAGATGAAACAGCTGGGTAAGAGGGAGGTTTTAGTACGTCTCAGGATTGGGGATAGAGAGGAGAAAAAGGTGATGGTGGAAGTTATCAGACAAGAATGATCAGGAAGTAACCTCCCGACTCGATATCGTAGCGATGTCAATTTGACGGACGGAAAGTCAGAGATCGGGTTCTAGTGGTCACCCACACATGAGACAACTGCTTGGTAAATAGCTCTCTGGCATTCCTTCGATGCATGATTCCTCAATTTGATGATTCCTTAGCTTCCACCATTTCTCAACACTCATGGCTTATGTTGTTACAGTGTCTTCCCCTATATCATGGCCAGAAGGGGCACCCTGGTCACTCCCAGGCTCACCTACAGCAACTGGCAGAATTGAAGGACCACTCACAAGTGCCTCATCCACCGAGTTCGCACCGACTGAGGGACATACATCTGACATTAGATCAGGGGTTGCTGAGTCTGAGCCAAAGTCACCATTGGGCCAAGCATGGGATTTAAGAGAACGATCCAGAAGCCCCTCTAGCCTCTGTATTTGTTGTCTGAACTTAGTCATAGGAACTTCACTTGCCGGAGATGTATCTCCAGCTTGCACAACATGTTCCAAGAAGCTGTCGGCGGATGCGCCAACAGTGGGGAGGTGAAGGAGACAGCGGCATGCCTTTTCGGTCAGGTGGCTCTCCACGGGCGATTGCGAGTCCGGATTGCGAGTCCGGAAGGTACTGTTCTTCCAGGCAACTTTGCTCCAAATCATCCTCAGAACTAACCGTTCGGATACGACCAGGAATGCTCTGGCGGAAAGCTCAGTTGTTCTGTGCCTCCCAGCACGCCCTCTTGGTCACTCACCATAAAGTCCTGACTTTATCAATCAGGGGAAGAGTGTCAGAGTTCAGGTTGGTGACCACTCCATTCTCCTCAAAAGTTGAAGCAAGCTTGACAGTCAGGAGCAGAGCCAGTGCAGCTGCTCTCAGAAGCACTACACTCACTTCTAAGCGATTGTCTTCCACAGGACTTTGGTACTGTCGAAGTTGATCATCAAGTACACTGCTCATAACCTTTCCTATTGTGCCTAAAGTAGAGGTATAAGCTTTGTATTCTACAGGGTAGTGTCAGGACCAGATGTTGGAAATAGTCTGCGTCTATGCGCTATGGCTATAGGTGTAACGGTACTGGAAACACGATGACTAGGTCGCAGGTTGGGTCGAACTCGATGGAAGTCTCGTGGAAATCTATGTGTCTCTGGTGCTATGTGATGGATCGTGTCTCCTCTGTGTTAGCCGATAGAATCGGGCCAGGACGGCCGAACCGCCGTTAGATAATTACCCCTTCCGTCGAATATTTCTCCGTTCAACTTATCCTCTGAACTTTATTCGATCGTCTCTGGTTTTATGCGTGTGAGTGGAATGTGATAAGTATAGAGACATGTAGAATTGATGCATGCTCTTTTTCCCCTCTGTATTATCATCTAATATTAGCAAACAGATTAACAGTCGGAAGTCACATACCTTCTGTGTATAACAAAGGCAAGTTCCCATTTCTAACTCTCCTCATAATGACCTCCGTGTCGTCTAAGATCTCTCTTGAGAACCACCCAAAGTTATCCCACGATCCAGCATCGTATGCTCCGTGGAGGAAGTCGATCGAGGTGTATCTACAGATAGGTGACGTGTGGAATATCGTCACAGGTAATGATACCGAACCTGGTCGCATAGGGGTGAGATCGGCAGCTGAGAGGGCGGGATCAGTACCTCCTACCACGCCCGTCGAAGGGCAAGTGGTTGGTAGAAGGATAACTGGAGAAGAGTGGAAGGAATGGGAAAAGTGGCAAGCGAGGGAGAATAAAGCGCAGGGGATGATCAAGGGAACAGTGTCGGATGCTGTGATGCTTGATATATCTGAGAAGATGTCAGCTAAAGAAATGTGGGACTACTGCATAGCCCTGCATGTAACAGCGACGATCGAGAATCAAAGGAATGTCCGTCAAGCGTTGTTTAGCTATGACTTAAGGGACGATGCGACGGCCGAAGAAATGGCTAAGCATGTGGAGGATTTCTCGAAGACAATGTCCGAAGCGAAATTGGTGGGGTTGAAGTTTGACTCACAGGATCGAGCTGGGTTATTCCTCAATACCATTCTAGCACCATCCTACAGGATCATTCAGATCGAAGTAACATCCCTCATACCTGAGGAAAGAACTTGGGAAAAGGTCTTATCGATCTTCAATAAAGAAACGGCGAGACGTAAAGCGCGCCCTGTTGGTAGAACCAATAGGAAGGGATTCGCGATGTTCGTCGAAGGAAATAAAGGAATGAGGGTGAACCGAGATAATATCTCTGATGGTCAGCCCAGGAAAGAAACTAGAAAGTGTTATAACTGTGACACTGTAGGACATCTAGCGAAGTACTGTCGTAAACCTAAAAGAGAGGATACGAACAGGAAGGAAAACGCAGATGGAAAGGATGGAGGTAAAAAGAAATGGAGGAATAATAATAATAATAAGAATAATAAGAAAGGACATACGGTCTCGAAGGATGAGAACCAGTCCAAGGATAACTCCAAAACCTCCTTGATGTATTCGTCATTGGATGGTGAACATGAGGCGTGGGCCGGGATGGCCATGTCGACAGAATCGTGGTTCGATGATGAAGAAGGGTACACGAGTAATATCGTATGGCCCGAAGAAATTGAAAACCCGTGGGTTGAGGATAAGGATAATGAGTGGGTGGGATTAGCTACAGAGTTTAATGATGTAAGCCACACTCGTGTAATCCCCACCTGGGTAGTGGATAGTGGTGCTACTCACCATATAACTCCTCACAGGTCGATAATGACGAATATTAAAAGGCTAGTGGAACCGAGAGTGTTCGGACTAGCATCTGGCAAGTCAATGACGGCTTGGGAAACAGGTGACATTAACCTCGAACTAGATTCAGGACAGAAAATGGTACTGAAAGATGTACATCACGTCCCCACAGCAAAGATAAGTCTTCTCTCCCTCTCGAAGTTACTCTCATGGGGGTGGAAAGCGAATCTAAGTAGTGGTGGTGGATGGATAGGTAAAGGTAAAGAGAAACTAGGTTTGAGGAAACATGACTCACTGTGGTCGGTACGATTCGGCAGAGCAATGTCTGCTGCGATGATCGTGATATCGACACCGAAGGCGACTTCACCACTTGAATCTGAGCATCAGCGACTCGGACATATAGGTGTAGATAAACTAAAGAATCTAGGTAGACAGGGACTATTGAAGAAGGACTGGGACACTTACAAGAACGATCCCTTTACAACTGATAAATGTCCCGCCTGCATGCAGGCCAAGATAACACGTCTACCGAAGAATAAAGAAGCACCAATGTTAAAAGGAGATGGTGAAGGAGTAGGAATGGATGTCGATATTACTGGTCCGTTCGGTCCGGCTATAAAAGGTGAACGATATTTCTTCGTTGGTGTGGAAAGGGCGAGTCGAATTGTATTCGCTATACCAATAACGACGAAGAACGAAGCGTCTGATATCGTTCGACAGTGTATCTCAAAATTGGAGAAACAGCTTGGTGAAAGGGTGAGAGTGATTAGGTCTGATGGGGGAGGTGAATTCGATAGCCTCGATATGAGGGAATTCTACCTGTCAGAAGGGATCAACCACTACATCACACCAAGATACACACCAGAATTAAATGGAGTGGCGGAGAGAATGATACGTACCTTGAAGGGGATGGTATCAACGATGTTGTTTGACTCAGGACTACCGAACGAATATTGGTCCTATGCTGTCAGATACGCCGCCATTATAATTATGAAAACATCGATTGGTGTCAGTGGTAAATCAGGTTGGACATCACTCACAGGAAGAGACACGAATCTAGATAGCGTGTGGAGATTTGGTGAACGGTGTTTTGTTCAGATACCAAGGGAGATAAGGCTGAAGTCGAACTTCACGATACCTAGGGGTTCATCAGCCATTATACTAGGTCAAGATGAGGGTGTGAGCGGTTGGATCGTTAGAATGGACGGATCGGGACGAATCGAACACTCACGAGACGTTCGTCGCTCGACAGGACGAATGGTGACTACTAGAGAGTCGCCCGATGTCATCCAAACCCCTCTCGACGCCATCGAAGTAGACCTAAACCCCGTTGTCAACGAAGAAATTTTCCTTGACGACCGCTCAGAAAGTGGCGAACAGGAAAATATCGATAATGAACAAGGAAATGATGTCGACAGAGACAACTCACCTAATACAGGTCCACAACCTACTGAAAGACGACGTGGACAGGGCATTTGGGGAGGAAATTGGGTCTATGAGAACGATATCGTCGAAAATGAGAGAAATGATGAGGAAGGAAGAAATGATGGGGACGAGGGGATCGTGACGACACGTCACGGACGAATTATTCGACCCCCCCACCGTTTCGCAGGCCTAACAGACTCGTTCCTAGACTTCGGTCGCGAGCCTAATAAGTTAGTCTCACTCGCCTCTATCGCAGGTATCGAAAGTGATACTTCTCTCATTGATCCTATCTCTCCTGAAGAAGCAGTAAACGGCCCAGATGGTGAGAAGTGGCTAGAATCCATGGAGAAAGAGATATCCAACATAGAATCTAAGGATACATGGGTGGAGACGGTACTTCCACCGGGACGAAAAGCCATTGGATGTAAATGGGTATTCAAAGTGAAGACAGATTCTGAGGGAAACTTACTAAAGTACAAGTCACGACTAGTAGCTCAAGGTTTCTCACAGATACCAGGTGTCGATTACGAAGAAACATTCGCACCTGTAGGTAGATCGGGGTCATTGCGAATACTCTTGACTATAGCAGCAACTGAAGATCTTGAAATTCGTCAGGCCGATGTCGAAGGGGCGTATTTAAACGGTAAACTCGATGTCGAAATTTACATGAAGTATCCCAAAGGGATAAAGCCGAAACCTGGATGTAATACCTTGAAGTTAATAAAGTCTCTTTACGGTTTAAAGCAATCTGGTAGGACATGGTGGATAGAACTCGGCGAAGATTATCTCACCTAGGTTTTTCAAGAATCGAATCAGATTGGGGTCTTTACTACAGACCAGAAGGAAAATCGAAGGAAAGGAGCAGCAATACTGCTGGCTATGTTGATGATCTAGT